ATATCAGACATTCGACTTAAATCCTAGAATTTTGAGGAACAGGTCAGAATTCTGGGATTAAAGAAACCTAACAAAATAAAACTCTAAACTCAGAATCCAAAGTTTAAAGTCCTTCCCTGAGAAAAAAAGTCAGAGGTTAGAATTTTTTATTGTTTATTTATTTATTTTTTGTCCTAATCCTCTTTGGTGAAATTCAACTACAGGTGCACCTGGAGTCAAAAAGGTCATCCCCAACTTTTTAAGCCTTGTGCCCTTGGCTTGTCTCTGCATAAATCTATACATCATCTGAGGGGAAACCACCATAAAGCACACTGTCATCAAGATTTCATCACAACATAACTCTCAAAGCACTTTGTCTCCAGACCCTGCATGAGTGTCTTCATGATGGATTCGTCTATATGTTGTTGTGCAGGTAGAAAACTGAAAACATGTCTTAAATTTCCGGGGCCCCCTCTAAATCTCCTACTGTCTCATGAACGGCGTATTCAGGCCATCTTGATCTCATCTTCCTTTACAGTGATGGTAAACATTTACACATTCTTCTCTTAAGAAGGTTGACAGGCTCTGATAGGTGGGTAAACAGAAACACAGTGTGAACTGATTCACTTACAGCAAAAACAACAAAGACCCTGTGATGTTCTTGCAGTAGAAAGCTAAATATAAAAGTAGGAAATTTCAATTTGTTATTTAAGCCAAATGTTGTTTTTTTTTGTTTTTTTATAAAGACAATTTTAACTTCAGTCATTCTAACTTCAAACAGGGAATATTTCTGAATTAAATGTCAGGTTTGTCGTGCCACCAAGAGTTTATGTAGCCCAGTGGTTCCCAAACTTTTCTGTGGGACCCTCATTTACTAGATAAAGCTCCCCTTCTCCTTTACCAACTTTCCTGTGGTCATCTACACAAAACACTGCTCAAAAATGTCCTTTTGCAGACAAATCTCAGTGTCTTCAGACAGTATTTGGAACATTACATATTCACGGTGTGAGATTGAGAGGAAAAACTAAAACATGTTTTTTTAAAGGGGGGAATCACTGTGAAAGAGATTGGGCCACATTTGAAACTACCACATCTGTAAGGAGTAAGCAGCCCACATTGGTAGAGGTGAAGTCAGAGTTGGCTTGTCATTGTTTCTTGTCTTTGTTTAAGCAGTTGTGGCATTTGTTGTTGATCTATCATCATCCATTTACCTGACAGTCTTTTATAAAGTCTGCCACACTTTGTTAGCAGTGCAGAGTGGTGTGTAGTGTATTTTTTAAAGCCTTGTCATAACACTGAGCAATCAGGAGGGATCACATCCCCCAGTTTAGGAATTAGAATAGTCCAACAGAAAAATCATTTGGAATAGTCTGTTGTGTGTGTGTTTTTTTAACAGTGAGGTGATGAAGATAAATACAATGTCTCTTATATTCTGAGTATTTGCTGGAGAAGAGGAGGCTTGCTGTTTAGAGTCTTATCTGATTCCAAGCCCCTACACCAATTTGTGGCATCACAAATTACAGTTATATCAAAATCCTTGTTTGGATTATTGCGACTTATTGCGGATGCTACTGTTAGTTTTAATTGATTATCAAATGGCAGCATCACTGTTACTTTCAGCCTGTTTCATACGCAGTCAGAAGACCCTCACTTTAAACAGAGGTCACCAGACATGACTTAAACACTCATGCTAACAGCCCAGGCCTGGGAGTTAATGTGTGGCACAAAGAAGGAATAGCAAAAATAAGCTGGAACGAACCATCATTGTTGTCCATGAACCCTTAAAAATACCACGAAAGGGGACAATTAAGTACAAAAATAATGTGTGATGACCAGAGGAAATCTTTGACTCTTTGTTCTGCTTTGATTCTCTGTGACTTTAACTTGGAAGCACATTTGGTTGCTGGTAGAACAGGAGAGAAGGTATAACCAGCCCAAGCTTCAGCCCACAGCTTTTTGAGTTAAATGAATCCCCAAATGTTACGTGTTTGTAACGGTCATGGGACTCCTGAATAATATTTGGTGGGGAGGAATTGTTTGTGCCAACCAGAACAAACTGGTTTCTGCCTTTTTGACTTCAAAGCTTTGGGAGTCATTAAATATTAAATTAAATACACATAATTTTCCTTTGGGGATCATTTAAGTTCTTGTCTTGTAAATAAGTAAAGATGCGTTTTATATGTGTCACAGGAATAAATGTAGAAAGCTTTTATTTTGGAGACATGTTCTTCTCTTACCTGCACATTGCACATTTTGTGAAGAAAAAAACTGACTTTAGGGCTTCTTCTAGATTACATGCCTAATTTACCCATTCACACCCTATCAATGACACTAATAGCAGAGGCTGATATAATCAGTATTAACTAATCCCATTCACTGGCACAGCCACCAGGGGCACTTTAAGGTGAAATGTCTTGCTCAAGACCTCTTGGCATGTAAACAACAGGAACTTGAATCAAACTACAAAACTTCCAATTGAGAGACGACCAACTCTGCCACTTAGCCACAGCTATACCATGCATTAGATCAACATTTAGCTGTGTTTGAGTGGAAAGGTTCACAAATATGAATTAGATAGATATACTTTATTGATCCCAAACTGGGAAATTCTCTTGATACAGCAGCAAAAAGAAAATACAAAATAACATTAAATATAAGAAGTTAAGATATAAGAATTATATTCCATTTGTTCAAGAAAATACATATTCATTTAAAAACCCATGCATGCAGTGGATGCACAGAGCAGCAATTTATTATTTCTTTTTTTAACTGAACTAAAAAAAATCATGTTTTTCCATTAAAAACCCCCTTAGCTGGGATCATCTATAGTGCAATAAAATTAAGGTAAATATTCAAGGAAATTAAATACCGGAATGCAGTGACTTGTTTTTGTTAAATTCCAATCAGGATCAGCCGTATCTGGGGTAAGACAACTAATGACTTCTCTTTGTTCCTTTAGCCTAGTAACCTCATCCTGTACCCCTACAAGTCTTTTCTTCCGTGACTGAAAACCAACATAAAGTACTCTGAGCCTGAGATTTAATCACAGTGAAACACTCTGAGCGCCCCTGTAACTGAGCCCTGCATAAACAGCCTTCAGTGATTGTCTATCTTTACGTCCGTTTGCAGGCAGACAAGTGAAAACTTGTCTAAAAGTCCCATGCCATCTTTAAATCTCTTCCAGTTGCATGTATATGACCGACTGTAGCTCAGCTTTTCTCGAAGATAACACATCTTCCTTTTGTATATTAGCTTACAGAGTCCCTGTTGTTACATGACCTAGTTGGTGGACCTGTTTCACGGAAACCAGCTTGTTGGTTACTGGAAATCGCAGCAAATTTTTAACTCAGTACAATTTTCTTTATATTTTCTGGAAGCACCAAACATGAGTTTGATACCACTGACAACTCAGTACATGTTGAAAAATTGTTATCAACACAGCCCATGTGCAATAAAATGTGGCTCAAAACAACATTATTTTGTGAGGTGAACACATGCCTTCTGTCATAGAGTAGAAAAATCAAGATGAAAATGAATGACGTATAGACAAACTTCCTCCTGTCCCGAAGATATTCCAGCATGTGTTGTCTTACTAGTTGTTTTTTTACATGCTCCTCCTAAACCTCACGTGTGTTTACTTTGGTTAGGATGTGGTAAAAATGTAGATTTAAGCTTATGATTTACTTAGCCTAGTTTTCAGTCATGGGTGACCCTCTGAGACCTTTACACAAGAGTCTGAATTTGTGTTTTCTCCATCTTTGAAAAGCTTTTTCTTTTGGTTTGCCTCGTGTGAACACAAAGGTCAGTATTGCAGAGATGACAGTAATGGAAATGATGTCCTGCTCTCATTTTTTAGAACTCCTTTGCTTTAATATTTTGATTTATGCCGCAGTACACATATCCTACTTGGAACACATAACCTGGAACTGAGTTTCTTCTCTCAACTTTGATAATTGATTGCCTTTACAAATTCATGACTAAAAATAAACTGGAAGCTCATCAAATGTGATGTATTTTTACATATTCAACTGACAGCATTAAAATCGATTCACGTGCAGACCGCCATGATAAATTCTTTTCATGTGATGATAAATTCAAGAAAACATCCATGAATAATCTAACTTGCTCTGACTGCTGGATGCATGAGTGTTTTTACTGTTAATAAGATGGAGTATTTTTCAAGGACAGTACTTTTCCAATTTATACTCAGTGATGAAAAGAAATGAACAATCTTTAGGCATTTGTATGTCTCTAGAGTATTTTCTTCTTTTTCCGTAGTGAATAATTCATGGTTACACTTACTGATCATGTGCAGATCCTGAATTTGCTCTTCCGTATCATACACTTCTGTAGCCTATGCTTCAATAGATTTAAAGTAAACAATATTTTTTTTCTTTTGTAAGAAATACTCCAGCACTAATACCTGAATAACTTAATTATTCACTTTTGAAAAAACTGAGGATTTGTACAAAGTTCAGCAATTGTATCCTTGCATTTATCAGATATTTTGGTGGTTGTTACATTTCAACTCACAATTTGACAATGCATATTCATAGATTACAGATTAATCTGCAAAAATGTCCGAACTTTTCAAGTAGTTTGCTCGAAAAAAAAAAAGTTTAAGGTTAGTTTAAAGTGATATATGCGCCACATAGCTTAAGATGTGAGATCTCTTCCACAGACATCTGATCCATCTGAACTTTTTAAGTTTTTAGATCGTACAATTTGGATAAAAAAAAACCCTGGGGTTTTTACCTGGAAGCAGGAACTACAGTAAAGTAGGAGGAAATGTAGCACTTCTGTAAATGTGCACGCTCATTTTGGACCATCTAAGGCGTGTTATGATATGGTGTAGGAGTTGAAGGAGTCAGAAAAAGTCGAGTTTTTCATTTGAAACCATGGTGGGGTCAATCCTTTAATTTGGGTCACTGAAATGCGACTATTTGGTATTCTTCAGAGTCAATATTTGAACTTCTTTGAAGATGTTTGTGCTGCTTTAATGCGACTTCATCGCCACTAGAGGGCGCCTCTCTTGTTTACCACCTGGCCTCCCTGTGAAAATGTCTTCATCTCCCTTTTCTGCCCCTCATTTTTACTCTGTTCCTCTTGCCCTAAATTCCATAAGGTCTCACAAGAGTTGATAAAGCGTTAGTTAAGATAAAGCACTCTCTTCGGGGATTCTGCCGTTTGTTTGTCATCACATTGGTGACCAATTGACTTCACATCCCCTCGACACGGGCTGATCACGTTTCTGCTCGACCAATGGGAGGCGGCTGTGATGCTCAGCAGCGCTATAAAAACAAGGTGGACACACAGGGACGAGCAGGAATGAAAAACAATAGAAACACGCACACAGACAAAGCGTCTAGAGACTGTTTTAACTTTTTGATATTTTTTTATACTTAACATAAGGTAAGTCCGACCTGTTTTTTTTGATTTTGTTGGCTGGTTTCTGCTGGTGTGTGCAAATTCTACCAGGCGAAACGCTGTTCCTGTTTGTGTGCTGCAGAAACTTTCCCTTTGTGTTCACTTGTTAGGTTAACCCGTTAAGTGATGCCTGTTTAACGCAAGTATTGTGTGCTTAATGTTGTGCGATGTTTGTTTTTAGCCACCTATCGTTTTACTTTAGCCTTTGTTGACTTTTTAGTGAGAAGAACAGATGAAGTCGTGACAAAGCAGTTCATTTATGCAGCACCTTGCAAAACAACAGGTTTCTATCAGGGAAGAAACACCGTGGTAGACAGATGTTAGCACAAGGATGTCAAAATATATTGTCAGAAATGAACCCACAAACACACAGTAATGATAACATAAAAATACAGAAATTAGCTTATTAGGAAAGAAACCTGAGAAAAAAGATCGAGTTCTTCATAATTCTGTGCCTCTGGTGCTGTTTAGTTCTGCACACTTCCTGTCAGAGCTTTCAGCTGAACCCTTGTATGTCAGCCTCGTGTTTTTCCATACATTCCTCTGTTATTTATGTGCTTCCACATACAGAGGCTCCTCTGTTTGAAGCTTCCCATTGCTGCTTTTCTCCTCTGCAGGTTCTGGGGTCAAGAAAATGGCCACCTCAACAAGTTCAAAACTAAACAAAGCTGTTAAGCAGCAGTACATGGGTCTCCCTCAGGGAGACAAGGTCCAAGCCATGTACATATGGATAGATGGATCTGGAGAGGGGCTGCGCTGCAAGACCAGGACACTGGATTGTGAACCCAAAACAGTAGAGGGTAAGATCTGGCTCCAGTTTGTTTGATTTTTCTTGGTAACACAGTAGAAGAATTTTATCTCATTGATTTGTGTTTTCTTTATCAGATCTCCCAGAGTGGAACTTTGATGGCTCCAGCACCTACCAGTCTGAGGGCTCCAACAGTGACATGTACCTCATCCCTGCAGCCATGTTCAGGGACCCATTCAGAGAGGACCCCAACAAGCTGGTGCTTTGTGAGGTGCTCAAGTACAACCGCAAACCTGATGGTAAATGAATGAGGGAAAAAAAACTTGATTTTTTTATCGATTAAAGCTGCTGCAGAATCTCCACTCATTCCCGTCTCCAATAGACAACAACCTCCGCCACACGTGTAAACAGATCATGAGCATGGTGGAGAACAGCCACCCGTGGTTTGGTATGGAGCAGGAATACACCCTCCTAGGAACAGATGGGCATCCCTTTGGCTGGCCTTCCAATGGTTTCCCAGGTCCACAGGGTGAGTATCCAGTATCTGCCAGGATCACTGTGAGATGACATGTAACAGAGGCCAGCTGTGTGTTCATAAGTGTTTTCTTTCCCACCTCTTTAGGCCCTTACTACTGTGGCGTGGGAGCAGACAAGGCCTATGGTCGAGACATAGTGGAGGCTCACTACAGAGCCTGTCTATATGCTGGGGTTCAGATCTGTGGCACCAATGCTGAAGTCATGCCAGCTCAGGTATGTTCTGTTACATATTTTTGATACTCTTACAGGTCAATCTGTTGTGGTGTGTGTGTGTGTGTGTGTGTGTGTGTCCCTCCCAACTAGGACAAAATCAGTTCGTAATGGGTCTGCGTCTGTGTTTCAGTGGGAGTTCCAGGTTGGACCTTGTGAAGGTATCAACATGGGGGACCATCTGTGGATTGCTCGCTTCATCCTCCACAGGGTGTGTGAGGATTTTGGCGTGATTGCCTCCTTTGACCCCAAGCCAATCCCTGGGAACTGGAACGGTGCTGGCTGCCACACAAACTTCAGCACAAAGGAAATGAGAGAGGACAATGGACTCAAGTACAATAAGTTTTTATTTTATTTTATTTTTTTCAGCAAATGAAGTAAAATTTTGATCAAGTTGTCGCTAACTATCTTTTTTTTTTTTTTTTTTTTCTACAGAGTCATCGAGGAGGCGATTGAAAGGCTGGCCAAGAGACACAGGTATCACATCCAGGCGTACGATCCCAGAGGAGGGCTTGACAATGCCAGAAGGCTCACTGGCCACCATGAAACCTCAAATATAGACGAGTTCTCAGCTGGCGTGGCAAACCGCGGTGCCAGCATCCGCATTCCACGCGCTGTGGGGCAAGACAAGAAGGGCTACTTCGAGGACCGCCGTCCATCTGCTAACTGCAACCCGTACATAGTCACAGAGTCTCTGGTTCGCACATGCATTCTCAAAGAAGAAGGAGATGAGCCTACCGAATATAACAAGTAAACATTTTGAGACTAAGTGCCATGACCAGTACTGTATTTAGCCTTCAAGACTTTTTGGATCAATATGTACCTCCTATGATTTTTTTTTTTTTTTTTTTTTTTCTGTTTTTACTTGATGGATGTAATAATAACTGAGGTATTCAGTCTTTACCTTCTGCACAATCACTGCCTTTCTGCCAACACGTCTCGTCATCAAAGCTGAAAACTTAAACTGTGTTTTGTCTTACTTGTTCAAGTTTGTACTGTTTTTATGAGCAGCAGGTTTTTGCTGTGGACATTGTTACTCTGACCCAAAGGATTCCAAAGGCAACTGAATGTTTGCTCAGTCTGTGGCAATGTTGTCGTGTTTTTTTTTTTTTGTTTGTTTTTTTTTTTGTTTTTGTTTTAAATCATGTTTTGCATAGATAAGGTCAATACATAAGCCAGATAACTTTACTGTAGGTTTTTTTAAATGCATGTGTGTTCTGTTTGTTTTTCACCTGTAATTGTCTCTTGTAAAAGTAAATAAACAGCTAACATTTTTATATCTGAAATATTGACTCTAATTAAATCTAACATGTAATTTTTTTCAGTTTAATAACAAACCTGTGACATCAATTGACATATTTATCGCACCATATGACAAGACAAATCTGCCTGTATCACTTCATAGAAAGAGCAGATCTTGACTTAATCTGGAGGGACCTTAACATTAGTCCACCAATGGACTGATCTTGGGACAGTGACAGAAACTTTCCTCTTTGAGGAGAGAAACCTTCAGAATGGGTGAACAGCCACTTACATAAACAACACTGCAAAAGCATAAAACTGACCAAGGTGTGGTAATATTTCCTGCCAAAAAAAAATGGTCCTGTTATGCCTGCTACAAGCCTCAGTCACCTGATAAATCCAGATAAGCATCCTATTATGAGATACTAAAACCACAAACAGTTGGAAAGAAACACTGCCGATGGGGTTAAAAACAACAGTCCTATATTCATTTCATCGATCTGACATTTACTGCTCAAAGGTTGCAGGGGATTCTGGGCCTATCTCAGCTACGACCTGGACAGGTTACTTCTCTATCACAGGGCTATAAACTACGTGTTAGTTTATCTCACACAATCACGCAGCTGAAGAGTGTGTTTCTGAACTGACCGAGGAAACCAGAGTACACACAGAGAACCCATACATGAACAGGGAGAGTGCGCAAACTCCAAAATTCAGAGGGAGTTTGAACCAGGAACCTTGCTGCTGTGAGGCAACACTTAAGGCAGTCTTACTTCATGAAATTTAAGCCTTGTGTCAACAAACCTGACAATTAAATTCTTTCTAACTCACACTAACAGATTTCTTTACTCATTACAAGTCATATGAACCTTATCTTTTTGCTTGTAGTATCTTGAAATAAGATGCTGACCTGAAGATCTCATGTGGGTGTCTCTAACTAATTGTAAAGAGACATTTTTTACCTAAAATAGACCAAAAACACTTGAATTAAAGCAGAATTAAAACTGATGTATTAATATTGGGGCATTAGCCTTGCTCAAGCAGCTGAGCAGATTCTTCATTTACAGAGACAAAGTACTTGCTGGTTTGCCCTGTAGTCATTTAGTGCATGTCCTACCCCCCTATTTTCTGTCCCCCTTCAGCTCTCCTGTCTGATAACTCAAAAAGCCTTTGACAAAAAGATCTTGACTAATATTAGCAATAAAAACTGTAATAATGATAATGTAGACAGAAGGCTTGATAAAAGCTTCATTCACCTCAGGAAAAATGTCAGTTTAAGATAGCACACACCAAGACTATTTCAAGAAACTTGACATGAATTCTTATTGAATTTCCCGTTAAGGATCAACAGAGTTCTTCCTATCGTATTTCATCTTATCTTATTTCATCTGTAGATGTATCTCCTCATTACAACTAAATCAGGTCCTACATTTGGGTGCAATATCATGAAACATGACATTTTCTCTGGACTTGTTGTGAATTTGGCTGAAATCAAGCCTAAGACTACATTTTTAATGGAAATGAGACAAAAGCACTCATACACCAGTTCAGAACAGCCCACTCTTTGTAACTTAGTTTGTTTAATTGTGTACTGCTTTTGCTTTTTTCTTGTTTTGTTTTTTTCTTGTACTTTTTTATCTGTAAAGTGACCTCAGGTGTCAAGAAATTATTATTATTATAAATAAGTTAAAGGCTGCATGCAGTCCCCTACAACAATACAGAGTCACCTGCATTATTAAATTGAACAAAAAACCCAGCAGGAGGCACACAGTTTGCAATGAAATGAACATGAATGCATACAGACAGGGAGAAACAGAAGTGGAGACAGGGGCTTTGTGTGGTAAGCCTATACCGGAAGTCTGAGCCAGCAGTACAAGTATACAGTGCATAGCATGAGGCACCCATTCCTTAATGTGACCAGCATTAAGGTTAAAAAGCACTGTTTGACAAAAGGACCAGTAAAGAAGCAGGTCAAGTGAATGCATGAAACGTGACATGACGTCAAGTCTCCAAAACACGTGCACGTGAGGGCACCCACTCTGCTGACTGCTCACCTTTTGCTAACATCAGGTTAGGAGATAAGTGTACATATGTGTGTGTGTGTGTGTGTGTGTGTGTGCAACTGTCACTCTGGTATGCTGTTTGGACATATGCCCTAGTAACCTATGGACTAGTTCCTAAAGTAGGCCAGAAGTGAAAAAATAAGGGTGGGGGCGTTCGTCTCTAAACGTGCCTGAACTCTCAGGAGCATAGAGAGAGGTGGGCTTCACTTAGAGCAGCTACTTTTCATTTAACTGTGTACTTGATAATAAAAGCTTTTTATCATGTCACACAGATGAGTTTCAATCAGAGACATGATGTTGGGCTTGTTATGAAGTTTTAAGTTACATGTAAATTCACATGTCAACTTTTTACCTCTTTCAAACTCTCACTGTGCTGTTTTTAATGAACAAGTCCTCAGTCTGAGTCAGTGTTGTGGTTGTATGTAGTTTCACTGGATTTGTCACGATGCGTCATGTGATGGCTCACATTTAAAAATTGTTGCTATAGACAGGGATTAAAAAAACAGTTGGAAGATGGAATTAAGTAATATGAGGATGAGTCATATTTTCACTCATATTTATTCATTTTCCCCTCAAATTTAGACCCCACTTTTTTCTGTTTTAACTTTTTGATGAACTCAATAAACCAAATTTCTGTATGCTCAGATTCAGATCCTGCTGCGGTGTTTTAGTAAACACCCTGGCATGAGGTTCATTTTATCAGGATGTGAAGCATGCTTGAGTTTAGTTAAAATCAGGTCAACTTTGATAATCATTTTTATCAATTGATTTTATTTCTTCACTCACTTATTTGACAATTTATTTATCTATTTATTTTTATTATATACATTATTTGTCTGTTCTTAATCTTTTCTTAATTCCCTCCAATGAGATTTTTACTTCTTTTACCCCTTCTACATGCTTTAGAGCGCTTACTAATTTGTTTACTTTATCTTCTTGCCTTAGTACATCGCAATGTTGTGGTGTCAAACCATGTCTCTTTAGCACTTTGGCTTAAATACTTGCTCAGTGTGTCTTTGTGTGTGTGTTTTGGGGGGGGGGGGGGGGGGGGTATGGGTGTATGTGTGGGTGGAAGGGTTGGGTTTTATAGTTGTTTTAAACCTCTGTGAGGATTAAAAGCATTACGAATAAGGCCATATAAATAAAGTTGAATTTGAATTTGAATCAGGTTGCATGATGCACACTTGGTCTTAAGGTCAGACTTTAGAGATTTGCAAAGCATGCAAATTGAAAAAAAAAAGTACTTGTCAAAACTTCTGCAATTGCATCATTTTGTTTATAAGTTAAATACATTTGAGGGTTTTTTGTTGTTATCTTAGTCATTAATGCAGCTGACCCAAATTTAATGTGAGCGGTCATGTTAAAGGGTCTAGTTAAGTCAAAAGGCTCTGAGGTGGTCCAAGTGAGGTTACTATGTGACCTCGAAGCCTCTTCAGTTAGACTTGCACCTCACGTTTCAACTCTTTACTCAGCACGTCTATTCTGAGTGTTCGGAGACACATTGACCTCAATGAAATACAAGACAGTTTACAAAATAGCAGCCTGTGAGGGAAATATTTCATGTGTCAAGATGGAAAACACAAAAAGCTAACAAAAGAGTCCAGTCCGTATATCTGGAAAGCATGGTAGGAGGTTTGCAGTACAATGTTCCCAGGGGGGTCATGGTATGCTTGGTCAGCCTTAGAGTGAACATCACTCCATACTTTAGTCATGGTTCGGAAAATCTGGACCATGACAAACAACCCACAGCCTTGTCCTCTATTTAACTGCATTTCAAACATACCTGCTCTGTGGGTCAACAAAGGAAAACACCTAGGACACCCGCTTAGTCTCGAGTTACTGTAGTGACTCCATTCAGCTAGGATGGGGGTGCTTGTTACAGTGGCCCTGAAGGTCAACTACACATATAAGGCATGACATGCAAAATTTACTGAACACCATAAACATTTCACTAAATGTAATAAATAAATAAATAAATAAAAATAAAAAATAAGCACTTAAAATGCAACAAAAAGCTAATTTTAAAAAGTGGACACCAAAACATTTCACAAAACTCATTGGCAGTTTACATAACCTTAAAACATTTCATGACACACAGGAAAAGGGATCAAAAAATCAAAAAAGTGACAAATTTATGATAAAAAGCAAAAGTGTGTGTTATGTTGATTTTTTTTGTCAATGACTGATTATGTGGATTTTGCATAAATGTTCCTTTTCAATTCTTTTCTCCTCAATATTTTTACATTCCATTTCTACTCTTATGTTTATCGTTTTTACTGAATGTTTACTATTTTTATACTGACTAGGCCCTTGTGTAACACAGTTTCCATCCTCTGTATGTGTTACACATATTGCAGCTTTGACAATAAAGCTACCTTAAACTACGAATAATTAAACACACCTATTCTAATCATCTTTAATTGTTCACGATTGGTCTGATTCCCATATACGACTTATTTTTCATCATCTGTAATCTGAACAGGGTTGATAGAACAATGATTCAGGGAGTGTGCAGGTCAACTGGGCAAACCGCAGATCTCTGGGACATTTTACATCATTTTAAATCCAAAGTAGTCCCACAGACTTATCAAAGAGATTTGATATTAGCAGAATTATAAGATTCATAGTCATAGAAGACTCAATTTAGAATATCCAAATTGATTCTAAACTTTGTGATTTACCATATTAAACTGTAGGAGTCTCGTGAAGTTTGTGAAAACAGCCCCGAGAACACATTTTAAGCAGGTGAGATTGGTTGAACAGCTGAGATCCAAGACTGGGCATGTGCCAACAGAGGTTTGACTGCACAGCTGCATGATTCGAAAATCTAAAATGGTTCTTATATTTGACTTTTAAGGGGCAGCAGGATTTCAACTTTTATAACCAAAGCTCCTTACACCTGTACAGGAGAAGATCAGTAAAAAAAAACGAGAAGTCACTGTGTCCACAGGGGTGCAAAAGTTGACACAAACAGAGGTTCCTTTAATGTCCAA